GCGCTGGGGAAAGGCCGTGGCGCGGATAAAATACGAGCAGATATAAAGCCAGACACCTTTATTGTTCGGCAAAGTCTTCCAACAAGTTATGAACCCGCAGCTTGACCCTAACCCATCATCTTGTTATACAGCGGAAACAAAGGCAGCGCCGGGAGCCGGGGCTGGAGAGGGGCAGGATGCGGGTGGGAAGGAGGAAAACCCAGCCTGCCTCCTCCACGGGGGATAGGTGGGTGTAATTCATCCCTAAACCCCACATCTACCACGCTCCAGGCTGCCTGTGGGGAGCAGACCCCGTGTTAGCCCCTTGCAAGGAGCCTCCCTGCCAGGTTCAAGGGTACAGAGTTCCCTTGGCCGGGGTTAACAGGAGCAGGACCCAGCAAACACCGGTTAACCAGGACTGCCATGCAGGCAGGAGGAAGGAGATTGCACAGCCAAGAACCAACGGCTGCGGGGGTTGGCAAACCAGTGAGGGATCAAAAGGGGAGCAGAGAGATTTCCCAATGGGGGAAAAAATCCCCTAACAGCACTGCCAAGGTGCTGGCACCAGGACTGTGCATGCAAAGGGACAGCACGGCACAGGGGGCAGTGACCTGGTGTCCAAGCCAGCTGCATGGCACAGCACAGCACAGCACAGTGGGCAACAGCAGTGCCAAGCAGCTTGCACATCCCATCCCCTGCATGGCACACGCTGCACGGTGGGCAACAGCAGTGCCAAGCAGCTTGCACATCCCATCCCCTGCATGGCACACGCTGCACGGTGGGCAACAGCAGTGCCAAACAGCTTGCACATCCCATCCCCTGCATGGCACACGCTGCACGGACCTCCCCTCTCCAACTGCGCGGCACAGCTGGGGACAACCAGAGCCACCTGCCTGCAGCTGGGCTGGCTCTGCCACGGCGCAGCCCCAGCGCCGGGGGAGCAGCAGGGGATCAGGACACCCCAGCGCCAAGCAGGGAGGGCATCAAACGGGGCACGGCCGCGGTGAGGAACAGTTAAACGGCCCCCGCCCGCATGGGGCGTGCGGCAACAGGCACCATCACACCCTGCCCAAACACCTGCTACCGCCGCGCTGGCACGGGGCGAGCGCCCGGGGCGGGCACGGAGCGGCGGCAGCGGGGAGCACGCCAGGGCCCGCAGCGAGGAGCGGCATGTCTGCGCTTGGCAGCACAACAGAGAGCAGGTGACAAGCGCGCCGGCGGTCGCTTTATTACAGGAAGCGAGCACGCAAGCATCTGACGCCGCGCTGCCCGGAGAGAAAATAAAACACCCCCCTCTCCCCTGCTATTAACAATCCCTCTGCGGGCGCGGGAGAAGGGCCCCCCGGATGCGGGGGGTGGGTGCCCTGCTGCAAAATGATGGCCCGGTGGCATCACAGCTCAGCCTCGCCCCCCTGCATCACTCCCAAGGCCAAGTAAATCCCAAGGGAGTAAAATTATGTGTGTGTGTGCACAAACATTTTTCCTCGGCAAACACTCCCCGAGACAACAAAATCAGCCGCCCCTGCACCCGTTCCCGCGCCGCCCCGCTCCTCTGACCCAGCAATTAGAGGCAGGCATTAATATTTAAATATTGCCAGCTCGGGAGAAAGGAAATCAAATAAAACACGCCAGCGTGCCGGCAGCACATCCAGCTCCTGCTCCATCGCCTTAAAGAGGGTGCACAGCAGGAGGGGGGGTGCTGTGCCACGCTGCTGGGGACACCAGGGTATTAATGTCACAAGGGGAACCCCCTTTCTGGGCCAAATCAGGGTGAGCAAGGAGGCAGCAAGCAAATGGTGAGCAAACAGCAGTGATGTTGTTGCCTGCTCAGCTGGGGGGTTTCAAAGGAACCCCAAGCCCACACTGACCATGTTTTGGGGTTCCCACTCCCTCCCAGCCACAAAGCAGCCGCCTGCAGGGTGTTGGGGACACACACACATCCAGGCTGTACCCCCCCCCCCCCCCCCCCCCCGGTCCCGCGGGTGCTCGGAGGCGGCGCTGGCCCAGCAAAGAGGATTTACTGCTCAACGCAAGGGGCTTTAGAGGCAATAACTTTCCCTCCTCTTGACTTAAATGGATTTGAAACTTCAAAAAGGATCGAGGGGGCAGGCTGCCAAGCGGCCGCCCCCAAGGGCTGACCCCGCAGGGGCTGGGGGGGCCGAGGGGGAGCTGCCAGCCCAGCCAGGGCCAACGGCCGTGGCAGATAAGGGGCGGGGGGGCCCAGAAGGGCCCGAGATAAGGCGGCCGCCGTTACGGGCGCGGGAGCTCTGGGGCACTTCCTCCCGCCCCGCGGTGCAACCGCCGGCGGGCAGTGGGGGGACATGGAGGGGACGTGGGGCTGCGGGGCATGAAGCACGAGGCATGGCAAGGGCCAGTTCAAGGGCAATCCCCCTGGCAGCCTGCCCGGGCAGCCGCTGCAGGCCAAGCTCTGTCCCGGCTGCTCCTTCTCAGGGCTCGGAGGGGCTGCCCCACAGCCTGTCAGGGTACCCAGCGCCCCACAGGTGGGTGAGGCACCCCAGCATTGCCAGCACACGGTGATCTGGGCTGGGTGTCCCCACTGGGCTGTGATGGCAGAGGCCATCTGCTGCTGCCCACACTCAGGCCAGGCCTTACACCCAGAGCTGGCAGCAGTGCCAGGGCTCCGGTACAGAGGTGTGACCCATGGCACCGTGCCCTGATGTGGGGGAGAGCACCACCACCTCCCACACGGCTGGCACAGGCACAAACCCCCCCAGGAACAACCCCTCCAGGCCTCAGCCTCCCACGGGCCAGACAGCAGGCTGAGGGAGAGGGCTGGGAACAAACAGAGGAGCAGCAATTAAAAATAACACCCCCCCCTCCTCAAGCTGCCCCCCAGCCTGTACCCCTGTCCCAGCCGCTGGCGTGCCAACAAGGAATAAACTGTCCTGCGTCCTTCGGCACCCCCCCTGTGCCCCCCGGCAGCCTGGCCCCCCGCCAAAGCCACCATCTCCCCGCTGCAGCTCCCTGCCCTGCAGCCAGCACCGGCCAGAACAGGCCCCGTGTGTGCACACAGGAGCTCAGCCCCGCGGGACGTGCAGGCACACGCACCCCGCGTGCCCCCAGCCAGGGGTCACCGCGCTCAGCACGCAGAGATTCACACCCCGGGGTTGTGCAACGCGCACACACGCACACACAGGGACACGCGTGTGCTCACAGTGCGCTCACAGGCAGCCCCCCCCTGCACGCTGACCCCCCAGCCACGGCTGGCCAGCCCTGTGGCACTCCCCGGCAGGTTACACAAACAGGGCGCACACGCAGCCGGGCGCACGCTCGCCTCGCTCACACCCACAAACCACACGGGCTCACCCCGGTGCTGCCGGCGCACGCGCGCCCTTGCAGGAAGAGGCGCTGGCTTCCCGCTGCCTTTTCCCTCCATTAACTCCCTCCCTGGATCTGGATCCTGCTCATGGCCCAGCGGGCACCCACAGCTCTGTGCCCCCCAGCCACGGGAGGAGGATGAGGATGAGGATGAAGAGAGCAAGGCACTTGCCCCTCCTGCTCCAAGCGCTGGCAGTGGGCGCTTGCCCAGGACTTGGGGACAGATGCCACCAATGGGGCACTCGATTGACAGATACCACCCATTGGGGACTGGCACCCCTGTCACCATGCAAAGCAGACACAGGGCACGGTGAGCTGCCAGCCCCAGGGCGAAGGGCACGGCAGGCAGCACAGGCAGGGCTGGAAGAGCCAGGACAGAGCAGGGCAATAAAGGCGGAGGCAGGCGAGACGCTGGGGCCGTGGCATCACCCCGGCACAGGGTGCGGTGCCTGGGCTCCCCGCGTCCACCTCAGTCAGCAACACGGTCCCTCCCCAGCTCCAGAGGTCCTGGGTGTCCAGAAATATTGGTGGGTAAACTGAGGCACAGCCCCACGCTGCACCCTGTGTGCCCGCATGGAGAGATGGGCAGGCAGCAAGGCAAGGAGAAGGGTCGAGGTCAGGGCCACCCTGTGCCCTGCCAGGCATGGGAAACGACCCCAAGGGTCTCTCTGGATAGTGGGTCATGGGGACTGAGCACCACAGCTGGCCCCAGACCCTGAGGCCACAGAACCCAGAGGGTCTCATCTCCCCACAACATTCCCCAGCTGGATCCCCAACTCCAAGGCAACCTCTATTTTCCACACCATGGGGTCCCCCAAGGCGAGGGTGACCTCTGTCCACAGCATCACAGGGCACTTGAAGCTTGGGGTGACCTCTGTCACCTCTCCATCAGGGTGACCTCCACCCCTCAAACAATAAGGGCCTCCAAGCCAAAGACAACTTCCATCCTCCAGGCCACAGGGTCCCCCTGCCTCAGGGTGACCTCCACTCCCCAAACAACAGTGACCCCCAAAGCTCAGGGTGACCACCACCCTCTGTGTCATGGGATCCCCCAACTCTGGGTTGACATCAGTCCACACACAATGGGGTCCCCAGAATCCAAGGTGACCTCCATCCCCCACATCACAGGGACCCCAAATCCCAGAGCAACCATGGGGTCTCTCAGCCCCAGGGTGACCTTGGTCTCCCAAACTGTGGGTTCCTCCAGACGCAGGGTGACCTCTGTTCCCCTCACAACGGGGTTCCCCAAACCAGGCTGATCTCCATCCCCCATACCATGGCTTCCCCTAAACACAAGGCGACCTCTGCCCCTTACACCATGAGCTCCCCCAACTCCAGGGTGACCTCCTCCACCAAACAACCGTGCCCCCAAATCCCAGGGCGACCTCCACCCCCTATACCAGGGGTCCCCCAGCCCCAGGGTGACCTCCATCCCCCCCAGCACAGTCTCTCTCAGCCCCAGGGTGACCTCTGTCCCCCCCACCACTGTTCCCCCGGCTGACCTCCATCCCCCACGCCAGACCCCCCAGCAGAGGGGCTGGGTGGGGATTGCGAGCGGCGGGATCACACCAGCCCCATCCCACCCCTCCAGCACAACTCCCACCCGAGGGGGGGACCCCGCTGCCCCCTCCCCACGGCGCTGCTGGGCTGGGCTGGGCTGGGGGGGGGGGGGGGTCACTCACCCGCGGGCCGCGCTGTCCAACGGGGGCTGCGCTCCTCCATGGGGAGGGAGCGGAGCGGAGCCGAGCCGTGCCGAGCCGTGCCGAGCCTTCCCCCGCCGCTTCCTGCTTCCCTCGGCGCCCGCCCGCCGCCCCGAGAGCCGCACGGCTGGAGCGTGACTCACCGGGGGCCGGGCCGGGCAGGGCAGGGCAGGGCGGCGGGGGCGGGGGCGGCGGGCACCGGCAGCGAGGCACGGGGCGCTCCGAAAACAGGGATGCTGCAAGGGGGGGAGGAACCCACCCACCCGGGGCCACCGGGGATTCGCCGGGAATGGGGGTTCCCCCCGTGCGGGGGGTCCCGCGGGGTGTTCGTCCCTCCCGCAGCATGCCAAGAATTTGGGTGATGGGGGTGTCACTCCTGCTCGCGGCGCACAGGTGACCCCTCCCCAAATGAAAGGATGGGGGGAGGCCTGTGCCAGGCACTGATGGGGGCCAGGCCTTTGATCCCCACCCCAAAACTGCTCCAAGGTACCGTGGGGCTCTGGGGTGCCAGCGTGGCCCAGCACAGTGGGCACCCAGGGTGGTCCTGAGCCCAGACCCTGCAGAAATAAGGGGTGATCCCAGGACAGCCCCCTCGGGGCACCCCAATGCCCCAGGCACCCCCTGCTCCAGGCGTGGGAGAGTGAACAGCATTGTGTCTCCCAGGTGGGGATGGTGGTGGTCACCCCTGTGCTATCCCACCATCACCTGGGCTTGGGGACACCAGTGACATGAGTGGGGTGGGGCTCAGCCCGCTCGCACAGGAGGAAGTTGCCCATCATTCACCGGCCACATCAGTCGGCTCCACGGGCCAGACAGGCTCGGCTGGCTCGGACAGGCCAGACCCCCACCTCCCTCGGGCAGGAAGGAGGCTTCAGTGAGGAATCTCGTCCTGGCACTGCCAGCCATGAACTGGCATCTCTGCAGGAGGAGACACAGGGCATGACAGGGACACCCAGCCGTCCCCAAACTGCCACACCACAGCACACACACCCCCCCAAATCCCTTCCCAGCTCACCCTTGCCTCTGCATCCCCTCCATCCTCCTCCTCCTCTTCCTCCAACAGGCCCCAGTGCCCGCCACGCCGGTGCTGCCGCGGTGCCGCTGCTGCCCGCCACCCCCCCAGTCCTCCTCGTGCTTCCCCCCCACCCTCCTCGTGCTTCCCCCCCCCCCCAACTCCCTTTTCCCGTTCTATTTTAAATTTTTATTGCATTCTTTTTAAAGAATACAGAGGAACAAATGCCCTTATCAGCAATTCTCACAAGGTATAAAGAGCCGCTTTTATCTCCTGCCTTTACTAATCTAGAGCGAGCCAATGCCTGTTAATTTTTTAATTTTCCTGGTGAATGCATTTGTGGTTCCGTCAGCATCCATCCGGACACGCACGCAGGATCCCCTCGGCATCCCAGCCCAACCACCCTGGCATGGGATTGACACTGTGCTGGCAGAGCAGTGCCTCATGGTTTGGCAACCACAAAGGGATTTTGTGCACTGGGAAGTCCCGTGTGTCACACGAGGCTCAGCAGGACACCCCGGGATGTGTCACCACCCCCAAGATATGGAGGTGCTCCCACAGATTCCAGCCTGGCTCTGCCTGGCCACAAGGAATGCTGACAGTGTGGGTCTCCACGCTCAGCACGGGGATAGATGCCATGCCAAGCTGTCCAGCTGTCATTGTCACCCTCTCTGGCCGAGGTCCCCGCAGGGGCAAAGGGGGGGTCACCCCTGTGTCCCCCCCAGGAAGGGACGCAGCACAGGCTGCCCGCTCAGCAGGGCTGGGAGCGCAGCAGCCGGACGCAGCGCACAGATGAGATGTGGCAGGCGTGTAACAAGCCATTAGTCACTGTCACCTTTGCCCGGCAGCCACTGGCAGGGTAATAAATCCCGGGCTGACTCCAGCGGGCCCGTTCCAGGCCACGGCTCCCAGCTTGCCTCCACACCACTGCCGGCTGGGCTGTGAGCAGCTTGTAAATGCATCCCAGCCCCCCCCGGGGGACACAGCGCCTTGCGGGGTCCCCAGACCATGGCCAAATCCCTGTGGGGCTGATCGATGGGTGACACGGGCCACTGCATTCCTGAAGGGTATCCTTCTCAGGGAATGTGAGGGGTCACGAATCCCCACCACCAAGCAGCCCCCTGGCCCTGCAGGCTGCCCCTTGGCTCTCCCTGCCTGCCCCAGCTTCACTCCCGCTGCACCTTGCGGTTCCTGACTCTTCCCAGCCCAACGCCAGGAACCGGCATCGGCGCTTGTTACGGATCAAAGGAGCCTGGCATGGCCCAGCACGACACGGCCCGGCGCGCCCGCCGGGAAGGGCTGGCAAACAAGCCGGGCCAGGGAGGCGGCAGGCGGGAAGCACGCGTGATGCCTCTCCTAAAAATGCTGCTGCTCCTGACGGACAGGGCGGCCGAGTCCCTGGAGCCGCGGTCCATCCCAGCCCCGGGGGCCCCCCAGCTCCCCAGCACAGCCAGCCCAGCACCGCGGCTCTCCCTGGCGCCCACGGCCTGACTCACGGCCCCGGGGATGGCGGGCAGGGACTGCAGTGCTGTCGGGGTCACCTTCCCAGCGGGGCTGCGGGTGCTCGATCCCAAGCCCAAGCCGCTGGCCATGAGCCTTCACCGGGAGCCCCAAGCAGCACATGGGGCTGATGGTCACCCCACAGTGGGACAGGGGACATCCCTTGGGAATGGCAGCCTTGTACCCTCCCGTATCCCCCCGCATCACCTACTTGTGGCTCCAGCGTCCGCACCCTCCGCATCCAAAGGCGTCCGCTGGCCGATGTCCGGGATGGTGCTGCCTGTTCCCGGGCTCTCCCCAGCGCTGGCCACCCGGTGCCGGGACTCACCGCCCGCAGGCTTGGTGGCAGCTGTCTCCAGGGACGAAGAGGACGCCTGGAAGAGAAGCAGGACAGAGACTCAGCGCCGTTGCCTCTCCCGGTCGGAGCAGCGCCGGCACGGGTGGGGGGCACGGGGGGGTTCGGGGTGCACAGACACAAGATGCTTTTGTTTTCCTGGCGGCCGGTGCACGTGGCCAGCACGGGAGCCGCACGCCAGCCCGCGCCGCGGGGCTACAGCTGGATCCGGCCGATGGCTCCCAGCACAGCCAGACAAGAAAGGCTGCAGGGGGGGTGAGGACATGAATCAAAGCGGCGTCCCCTCGCCCGCCGGCGGCAGCTGGCCGGTTAGGCAGCTCCCGATTACTCAACCGGGCAGTGTTTACTCGAGATCAACAACCCCCCATCGCCTGCCCTGCCAGGCGGGCGAGGGAAACGTGCTGCTGGGATGGGGATGGCATTCCCGCTGTGCCTTGTTTGGGGACAGTCCCCTTCCTCGACCCCCGGGCGCTGCTGTGGCTCAGGGTTTGTTGTAGCTGTCACCCTCCTGCCCGGGCACACAGCTTGGGCTGTCACCACTCCTGTTTAGCTTTAATAAAGAAACAGACAGTGACACAACGCTCATCCCAGCACTGTTGTGCCACCCTGGGAAAGACACACAGACAGCCCAGGTTCACAGGATGTTGTGCCCACCCCAGGTAAGGTGGGATGCAGGTGACCTCCCCCTGCCACACGTGCGCCTGATTTGGGGACATTAGGACCATGGTGAGGATTTTATGTTGATCCCGTTTTGCTCGGGATTACTCCCATAAACATGGAGATGAATGGTCGGTGGATGCTTTGCTGGGAAGCCCTTAGACTCAATGAGCCACGCACACGAGCGGACGTATAAATTCACCGTTTGCTCCCTGGAAAGGTTTAATTTATGGAATCCATATGGCAGCGCCGCACAACCGCGAGCGCTTGGCACATCCCGTGAGTCCTCGAGTGCCACCACGTCCCAGCCCCAACTGGCGGGGTGCCACCAGCTGCCCCGGTGATGGCAGGATGCTCTTCTCTTCCCCAGTGATTAACAGAAGGTGACTTTCACAGCGGGCAGGGGACAAGCCCAAGGATCAGGCCCCGTCCCTGACAGCTGGGTGTGGGATCCCTGGAGGTGGCAGGGATGTCTCAGGGAGGAGGTTATGCCATTGCTCCTCCTCCCAGGACAATGCCACCGGCAGCAGGAGGCAGCAATCCCCTACCTGTGGGCATGGGAAAGGCTGGGGTGCACTTTGATACCTGGAGCAACTAATCATTAATTAGCATTAATCACTCTCCATCACGTGTCACAGCAGCATTGGGCAAGACGCAGCTGGGAAGTCGCAGACCAGGGTCTTGGTGGGGAAAGTGGATTTTGACAGCTGGGCCAAGGCTGGCACCCTCCTGCTCCCCAGGGAGCCCCCCAGACCCCAACCCACCCATCAGCCCCACAGCACCAGCAGCCCCCACCCCCTCTGTTTTCCTGCCAAGGGATGCTGAGATGCAAAGGCACCAGAGATGGGTCCCACCTGCCCAAGGGCAGCCAGGATCCCACCCCCCCTCACCACCCGTGTCCCCTGGGACCCCCAGGCTCCGCACGGAGCAGCGGCCGCCTCCTTGCTTTAACTTCAGCCGGCACTATCTGTCAGCAAATCATCCCCGGTTACACAGATAAGGAATAATTGATGCAAAGGAGCCATCTGTTTGCGAACACGGAATATCTGCTCAATTAGGAGGGATCTGTCCACCCAGATAAAGCATGGCGGCAGCCCCTCAGAGCGGGGGCCTTCCTCCCCAGCCACGTCCTCAAAGACTCACCCCCAATTAGAGGTGAGCAGGTTGATTTGGGTGCTAATTTGCTAAGCAGCACCCTGAGGTGCTTGGGAACAGGCTGGGAGGGAAAGGTGCTCTGCCACCAAGTGCTGAAATTTGAAAGGAGAGCTGGCAGCTCCCCGATGTCCCAGTGTGATAAAGCTCAGCTCCTCCTGGCTCTGGGAGATGCTTATCCCACATGTTCCCAGGGATGGAGAGAGGGGACCAGGATCTGTGCTTGTCCAATGGCACTGAACTGAGGCTGGCCCACTCGTGACACACAGATGGACGAGCCTGAAACAGCTCCCAGGCCAGATCCACAACAGGGATCAGGGATGCAGGGCACAGCCTCAGGCACGTCCAGGTCAGGGGTAGGTGTGCAGCGAGGTGACAGCAATGTGACATCATTATGT